AATGTAAGTAGATGGGCTAATACGTGCAAGTTTCTAAATGAATTTCACTAATTCACCTTTACGTTTTCAGTGGAATCGGCAACCGCTGCCTGGTGACTAGCTGCAAACAGCCCACACTTAGCATGGCGGCTCACTGTGAGCGCCACATTGTGAACAACAGCACCCAGCAACTTTTCCAGCCCTGCGTGGCATGGCGGATGGATGGAACCGCTTGCAAGGCTCCTGTCTTTGATTTACAGCATACACTAGCCCTGTGCAAAGTACACAGTCATCTGCGTTCTGGTATGGATGCTGCCCGCCCGGTACCGAAGCAGGTGCCTGTTAGTTTACCTGTCGCAGGAGTGGCCACGAATTCTCCCACGCTAAGTGTGCCTGTAAAGCAGCAGCGCAAGCGCAAGGCGAACACAAATCCTGTGCCTCGCCCACAGAAGCGTGGCAGAAAACCCGCAACCGAGCAAAATGCTAACCAGATCATCAGCCAGATTAACACTCTTCCGCTGATCCCTTCGGCGGGAATGCAGCGCAAGAGCAGCACCACCTCGCTGGAGTCTATTGCCAGCAATTCGCACTCGTCGGCCACCTCGCACTCCCAGCTGCCCTACACGCCAGCAAATGTATCGGCTGCGGTTCCCGCTGCTCAGAACTTGCCCCAGATATCCATTCCTCCAGCCCTGGCTCCACTTAGCGGTGATTTTCAGCCTAAGCAGCTGCATGAAACGCTTTCGGTTCCCAAATTGGAGGTGGATTCGTTGTTTAAGTTCGAGGCCGAGCAGTCGCAGCAGCAACACTTGGATTCCGGGCTCCATTTGTTGACCAATGCCAATATCAAGGCAGAGGAGATAAGCCAAATTGTGGCCCAATTGGCAGCAGCCAGTGGAGATTTACCCCAGCACAACAACAACAACAGTAGCAACCACAATAACAACAATAGTGTGCACTTCAACAATAATAATAATATGAACTATAGCAACAATAACAACAACCAGCACAGTTTCCCCTCATTCAACACGGCATTCGGCAATGCCATGGGTCAGCCAACCAACATAATCACGCACAATGGCCACGCTGCTCCCGCTGTCTTGGCCAACACGGCTGATCTACTCGGCCAGGACATGTTCGGCATTTGCGAGAACAGCTCGGCTTATGCCAGTTCCGAGGACACCGGCCTGGGCGGGCTAAGCGAGTCGGAGCTGATAGGTGCTAACGATGCTGGTAAGTTTCAAGTTCAAATCGCTAAAAGTTTATATTTTTGTAACTTCAATTACAAGAGGAGTTATAGGAATCGTAATGTTCTAATGGTTTTCCCAGAACGCTAACCATCTTCCTTCTCTTGCAGATGACATAGCATTGAATGGCGCCCATTTGCTGGAGGAGCACGATCTGGTAAATGTGTTCGACACGCTGCCGAACGATGCCTTTGAGGAGCTGTTCCAATCCGGTGTGTATTTAACCACAGTTTTACTTGTTAAGCTTTTCACTGTACTAATCCATGTGTGCCTCCGATGCCAACGCTATCGCCATTGCCCTCGCCTTGGACCTGTGCCGATGCAGTGCAACAAGCCGAGTGCGAGGCCATGGACCGGGCACTGGAGATCGCCGATAAGAACCTCAAGTGTCTGCAGCAGACGATTGGCGGCTCGGCGGACAGCGCCTTTCTTAACGATTTCCTGGGCGACGATTTGCTAGCCGATGCCGTGATGCACTCACCGAACACGTCCGGCATCGATGCCGCCACACTGTTCGTGGACAGCAGCAGCGGTGGCGGCAATAGCAGCAGCAACGGCGCCTCCGACATCCGGGGCTTGGTGCAGACCTAATTCCGGCATCAGTTCGGATTTAGGGCCTACAGAGTTCACTGAAAGAGATTTTCCAGTCTAAATTTAACTTCCACTTTCGGGCAGCTTTCGCTAGGAGTTTCTGTAGTTTCTTTTTGGCAAATTTCTCACCTGCGATTCTGGTTCGGCACAATTTTCTATATGCTGCTTAAATGTTATGTGTGCATAGGCCAGCAAATATGCATGTATTAAATAACATTCAAAAACCATATAGTTATGCGTTAATGTGGAAAAAACAAAAAAATTACAAAATTAAAAAAATTTGAAAAAATGTCCAAAAATATTTACTTCAACTTAAAAAACAAAAATAAGAATGAAATGTATATGGTTACGATACACAGAAACATAATAATGTAAATTCGCGTGAAAGTGTAGCATTACATAACTCTTAACGTAACTTAATTTGTTAGTGAACCAACAAAGGATTGTAGAGAGCAGCTTTATTATACATATAAACGAAAAAAGATAGTAATATACCAGAGCAAACAGAAAAAAGATACCGAAATAGTAGGAAATCTAGCAACAAATTTGAATTCTGAATTAAATGCACGAACGCGATCCATTGGAGAGTTCGTTAACCTAAGTAAGCCTAGAATTTGATTAAACATTTTGTGAGCGCATTTAGAACAATAACACCTTACACTCAAACGAGAATTGCAATTAATTTCAACAGAAACAAGAGAAGCAGATGAATTTTTGTTTGGTTTAGTTCTTGGTTTGCACATAACACACACACCCACACCTACACACACACATACAACGTACAAGGGACTAGTTTGAAACCGCGAATCGTATTACTAAATATATATACAACTATATATACTTATATATAAAATATAACTATATATATACATAATACTACTTAAATATATCTGTACACATACATTTAAGTGTAAGCTTTAATTTAAACCAACCCACAAACAAAGAAAGGAAAAATCAACAACAAAAAAATCAACAACAGAATGTAAAAGTGTATACTTGATTTAATCTTAAGCTCTTTTTTTTAGCCATTACGCTAAGGCCGGAAACATTGTTCGATTTTAATTTAGCCTAACAAATTTTAAAAGCAAAATTAGGCTGACCGACAATTTTTGAGTTTTTACCTTGCGTTTGTCTATCTAGATTCTGTAAATTAACAAATATTAAATAGAACATTAATGAAATGTAATTTTCTTTAGTCTAGTGACAAGCAACCACTTATAAAACAAGATATATTTATACAACAATACACAAAACAAGCAAGAAAACTGTTACGCTTTAAAATACGATATATACCACTCACTGGAGCCCGATCCCAAAATCAACGCCCACTAAAAAGTTCAGACCCCAACCATTCCATCCCCATCCATTGTAAGTTTTCATTTCTCATCTGTCACCTGGCATCTAAGCAAGTATTAAATGAATGAAAAACGTTTAATAACACTAGATAACTATGTATTTGTATATGTATCACGCATCGACTTTAAATTACGTTGAAGCACCCATCGCACTCTCGAACACTTGCATCTTTAATAGGGATTTTCGTTTGGGCCGTGCGGAAAAAGATAGGAGCAGTAAGAACTACTTTAAACATAATGGAACTCTGTAATATATGATATACGATTAACTCCCACACTCTCACTCTCTATCTCTAAACCCTATCTAGATATAACTGTATGAATTCGTTCTTGAGTTAGTTGATTTCCAATTACTGGGTTAATTACTCAATAAGTTGGCCCGCCCTCTACTCTGATCTACTTCGCTGTGCAAGTGACGCGAACAAAATTTGTTTTTTTTGTAGCGAAACTACGAAACCATTTGTATTTGATTATATGCTTTAAACACTATTTTTTTACGATACTTAATTTTTAAGAACTGTAGCGATGAACCTACACCCCCGCATCCCTCCAGTAGCCCGCCTCGTTTCCATCATTTGAAGATTTGTCTATGTTTTTTCGGTATGAGGTACAATTTCATTTTGTAATTTACGTGCATTTTTGTGATCTAATTTGTGTAACTATTATAAACGAAAAAAAGAAACAAAATACTTTAAGAAAACAAAACAAAAAAAATAAAACAAAACGAAGCAAATGAAAAAAAAGAATTGATTGATTTTATGGCAACTGAATATTTTACCCTGAAAATATAATACAATATTTTTAGTAAAAAACCAAAGCACCCAGGCTTGTCATTGGGGAATCGGTATGGGAAACTATCGACTGATGATAACTGGGACCGGGGGATTTAGGCAGGCGGTGGCCAGACAATCAGAGCCTTACATTCGTTTAACAACATCATTTTCTCCTAGAAAACAGTTCGTTTGCCTTGACACATACTCCGACTAACTCCCATAAACAAAATACAAAAACAACCGCAGCACCGCCAATTAAGAAACCAGCTAATCCTGCCCAGGTTTCTTTCAGTGCGTTTTGTCGAGTTGCGGTCGAGCTTTAAATTCAGAGGTTACATTGAAAATTATTGTTTTCTATTTTGTGTTCCTTGCTCGACCACCAACCATCTAATCAAATCAAAGCGCCGAAGGCATTAATCCGAGCGCAAGTGAGCACCAGATCTTGTCCGGATCTTCCCTGTTTGCCAAGGTGAGTGAGCGGTGACGATTTCCCTTCGCCCATCTACCCATTCCAGCCATTATATGAGTATCCCAGCAGGCGTGTCATTTGCTCTCGGTTGTGATGCATACAAATGTCTATCTGAGCTGCCGTCTCCCCGATTAGTCACATTTTTTGTACGTTTGTAAGCTGCCGCCAGTTTTGAGAGCGGTGCCACGGGGATACCAAAGCGTGGTAAGTGGATGCCATATGCTGCTCATAGTTTTCCTCCTAACGGGCTCCATTCCCCCAGTTGTGCTATATACGTATATTTTTTATATTATCATTGCTGAACAGAAGCCTGTCCACTATTTTCTATCTAAGGACATCAATCCAAGGTGAGTTTTTTCAAAATACTTATATTTGTTACAGATAAATTTATTGACCCCAGCACACATTTTCTTGTTACATTCCTTGACATTCTGGTCAAGAAATACCCTCATTATTTTTATATAAATATTTTACCATTTACGTTATTAGAAATCATCAACAAAATATGACCGCAAGTTCTTTAGAATCTAATGCCAGTAGACAAACTTTTAAATTATTTTCCAGTTCAAATGAAATAAACATTTCTCTGATATTGTTTTATTAATACAAGTTTCTTAATTTGTACGAATTTGCATGTCATAGGATATAACAGGACTAAAGCTGTATTTTGACCTTCACACACTTAGCAATATTTACATGGGTCCTACGAGTAGATCTTAACCTAAGCCTAATCTAAATAAAATAAATAATGTGGACTATTAGTGCTATAATTCCGTGGTCTCCAATTTTCTGGCCAGGATTTGAGCATTATTTGTCAGCTTGTCGATTTGGTTGTACAGGTTAAAGTGTCGATTCAGATCGTTGCTGTTGTTGAATAGTTTGGCAGTTCCTTTCAGGGTTTCGTGCATGTCCTGCGTGGCCACCGCCAGGAAGTTGTCATCCAGAGAGTCGTGGCCTCCAATGCTAATGTTTGAAAAGTATTATATATTTATATTAGAATATTATTTATTTTTAAGGCGTTTTCTGCCAAGTCGCACCTGCCAGTCTCCTCTGATTTGAACCACTCATTGTCGTAGCCCTTTAGCCAAATGGGGTTTGATCCTTGAACACTGTGCTTGTTGGTATTTGGCACACGAGTGGCAGGCTCCTGAGTGTGTTGCAGGGACATCGAGGAGTTACCACCTAATTAATAGTTTTTCGGGTATTATAATGCTTCAGGAAGGTCTATATAATAATCTATGCTTACGGAATATATTGACTTTAGCGGCTCTCAGCTGCCTGCGGTACCCATTTCTCTGTGAGGCACAGAGTGCAATAGTGACTACCAACAGAGTGGCTAGAAATAAGTTGGTGAACACCAGCCAAACGAACAAAGGACCTCGGGTGGGTCCTGCGGTCAGGAGTTGCGCCTCCGCCGCCTGTGTGTCCAGTACATTTAGCTCCTTAAACAGCCCGTCCAGACTTTCGATGTGCGAGTCGATCAACTTAAGCACCTCGGATACCTCGTAGATGGAGTTGTCCTCGCGCTCGACTAGATGCATATATAGATCCGTCTTCGTCTTGTCCACCGAACCGTCCTTGTTCTCATGAACCTTAATCTCATCTATGTTTACAATAGATTCTGTGATGTTTCCCAGGGTGCTAAAGGATTAGAAAAGGAAATCAAATAATGTTTTATTCTTAAGGAATAAAACTTTACTTACTCTCTAAATGAATCAACTCGGGCTCGCAGTTCATCCGGCTGCAGTCGGAACACAAAGCGCACCTTCTGGTCTTCTCTTAACAAGTAGATGAAGACATGGGCCACATCCCTCATGCCCGATGTGTCGTTGGCCAACACCACAAAATCGAAATACCCTTTCATACCCTTCTGTGGGTCAAAGTTCAGCTGGACTTCTCCCGTTTTCTGATCGATAAGAAATGGAGCCTTGCGCACATTCTCCAGTCCTTCGGAAAGAGTTTGACGAATTTCACCCATTTGGTAGTATCCAATCTTTCCATTCTCTCCCTCATCTGCATCCGTGGCTTCAACGCGCATGAATTTTAAACCAAAGTCGGCATTTGTTGTGATACCACCCGTGAAGATTTTGGAACGGAAACGAGGCGGATTATCGTTAATATCCAGCACTCGCACTTTGATTTTCACCACAGTGCTATCTGATTCTGGGTGGGAAATAGCTGATGCTCCAGAGTGATCCTCCCGACTGCCGTCATAGGTCTCATACGATGCCATCTCCCCATCCTCCGATTCGTACTCATTACTCTCCGCTGATCTCAGTTGTCGGGAGTGTTTGAAGCGATCGTAACTGGACTGCTGATTATGCAGAAAGCCTCCTAATCTATTGTTGATCTCGATACCCATGCGTCGACGTTTTTCGCCTCCGGATAAAGAATCATTCCCACAGTTCTCTGTGGCTCGCACATAGAGCGTAAAGTTGGCCACCACTTCGCGATCCAGTTCTCGATCAACTGTTAGTATGTGGGTCTCGGGATCTAGTCGAAAATATCCCGCCTCATTTCCATTCACTATAAAGTAGCACACCTGACTGGGCGTCTCATTCGGATCGTCCAGTTCCAGCTGATCCTTGTCTATGGTATCGGGTAGCTTGATCCTTTCCGCCCCTGGATCTGAGTGCTCCGTAAAGTTAACGGATATTTCGTTGACTATAAATTGTGGCTCGTAATCATTTACATTGCGCACATAGATGGTAAGGTCCAAATCTGAACTCAACGAGGTGGGCAAACCCTGATCGTAGGCTTCAATACGGATCTGTAATGGAACATTGGTTTACATAAACAAATGTGTAAGAATATTATTGATTGGTTTTTATTTCTTACCTCGTGAATCTTCTGCTTTTCACGGTTTAGTAGTTCCCTCAGGAAGAGCTCTCCTGTATTAGCATTTACCTCGAACATCTTGTAGCTGCCCAAGGGATCGGGCTTGAGTCGATATCTCACTAGTGCATTCTGACCCATGTCCGCATCGCTGGCATATGCCTGCAGTATCAGAGTGCCAACAGTGGCGTTCTCCGGAATCCGAACAGTGGTGTTATGAAGTGGCTTTACGAAAACCGGGGCATGATCATTGAAATCCGATACACAAATGTCCAGAGTGCTGTGTACAATATTCGCCGGTAGACCCATATCTCGTGTGGTTATAGTAAGGCTGTAGTTTCCAAACTTATTGCGCAGACTCTTGCTGGCGAAGATTTGAGCATTCCAAGCGTCCAGCTGCCGCAGCTCAAACATGCCTTAAATTAAATATGGATCAGCTTGGATAAATATCTTAAGAAATAGTTTTATTAGAATCCAAAACCTTACCATCTTTATTGCCTTGGGTAATGGCAAAATCCAGTCTTCCGTTTGGTGTAGTTGGGTCATCTGCATCTTTGCCCACTATGTTCGCCACTCGTTCATGTAACTCATGATACTCCGTGATTAGGACACAACTCCTGGGCAGACTCACCTCCGGCGGATTATCATTCTCATCCAGTAGGGAAATGCTAATAATTTGATTAAATTAATACTCTCAAATAAGTAGTAAATATATATAACTTACAAAACCTGCTTGAAGGCATTCCGACTTTCTCCAGCCAGAAATCCGAATTGGTAGTTGTCCCAAGCCTCGATTACCAGATTGTAGGAGTCCTTGGATTCCCTGTCCAGACGATCAGCCACCGTTAGGACGCCAGTATCCGCATCTATGGTGAACTTTCCTTGCGAACTGATGCGATCCATCAGGAATGTGATCTTGCCAAAGTCTCCAGAATCCGCATCGCCAGCTTGCAAAGTAGCAACTCTAGTTCCAGGAGCTGCATTTTCACTAATCGTATAGTTCTTGCTGCCACCCACAAAGTAAGGATTGTTATCGTTCTCATCAAGCACTGTGATATACACATCCACCAGAGAGGATCTGGCTGGCATTCCGGAGTCGGTGGCCCGCACACTGAAATTGAGCCACTGATGCTGCTCGTGATCAATCTTACTCGCCACCACAATTTCCCCCGTTTGTGAATCGAGGTGCATCAGCGACCGATAGGTGGGATTACCTTCCAGAGCATAGGTAATAGTCCGATTCTTATCCACATCGGAAGCCAACACATTCACAATCATTGCTCCGTTGATGCTGTTCTCGGTGATAGATTGCCGGTAGAAGGGCAGACGGAATTTTGGGTTATTATCGTTTTCATCCAGCACTTGAATGCTCAGGAACCCTAGTAAGATGATTAAAGCAAGAGGATTAGTGTAAATTCATGAACCTTATTCATCTGCTTTGTTTACCCACCTTCAACGATCTGCCTACCCTTAGCAGCAGCCAGATCCTCAACAGTTATGGCCAATTTAATGTGCTCCACCTTTTCGCGATCCAACAGCTTGACGACTTTTAGCGATCCTTCTATGGGATCCACCTCAAATGCGCCTAGGAAGTCGTATTCACTACTTTTCACCAATGCCCCCTCCTCACTCCGACCTTCACAATGTTCCGGATTTAATTTGAACCGTAGGATGGCCTTCTGATCTAAATCCGTTGCCTGGATTCGATACACCAGTATGCCCACAGGTGTATTCTCCACAATCTTCAAAGCTGGCATTTCAGTCAGTACAGGAGGTTTGTTATTTACATCCTGAATGCTTATGTTCACCGTACAGGTGGTCATTAGCTGGGAGTTGCCCAATCCTCCATCTAGAGCGATCTATAGAGCATAAATAAATTCATCGGATAACATACAAATATGAAGAGCATTTAAAGAAACTCCCTATGAACTCACCACTGACAGGGTATAAAGCGATCGCTTGTTGTCTGTAAGATCCGGATCTAGATTGGCTCCCTGGGCCACCGAGATAACACCCGTTTCAGAGTTAATGATAAACTTGTCGCTGGCACCTGTCTGGATGCGATATACCACCGCATTATTTGGCGAGGATCCATCGCGATCTATGGCTGTCACCTGCAGCACGGAACTCCCACCTGGCAGATCCTCGGGCACGGATTTTGCATAGAAGCTGCGCTGGAAGATCGGTGGATTGTCGTTCACGTCCTGCACGTAAATTAGAACCGGAACCACTGTGGAGAGCATGGGAATGCCGGAATCACGAGCTCGCACCAGCAGATCGATCTCTCGAATGCTGGGAGATCCTCCCGTGAGTGGATCACTTCTGCGACTGCTTCGATCCACCAACTCCTCGAAATCAAAGCTGTGAACTGGTTGCAGTAGGCCACTCTGTGGATCTATGCTGAAGTTCGAGCGGTACATGCCCTCGACAATCTCGTAGGTCACCTGGCTGTTCTCTGTCCCATTGAGATCCGCATCCCGGGCCTCCAGTTGCAATGGGGTTTCGAACTGGGCCTGATTCTCCAGCAACTTCGTTTCGTATTGTCGCTGTGGAAACGTAGGCGCGTTGTCGTTCACATCCAGGATGTCTATAATTATTTGAGCCGTATTCCTGTTGCCCTGACCAGCGCTATCGATGGCCTCCACGGTGAGATAATGCCGGGAAATTATCTCGCGATCAAAGGCAGGTCCACCGGCCTGCTTGATAGTTACTACTCCAGTAATCGGGTTCAGATTGAGTCTTAAAAAAAGGAAAGGAAGTGAGTGACCACTGAAATAACACATTGATATTGTGATTAACTTACAAGTGAGCAATTCCGCCCCTGAGATTGGTGTAGCGAATGCCAATAGTTCCATAATCCCCCGAATCCACGTCCATCGCTTGCACATGGGTGATGATGGTGTCCTGATCGCTGTTCTCCAACACACTGGCATTGTAGATCGTCTGGGTAAACTCCGGAAAGTTGTCGTTCTGATCTCGAATAAATATCTGGACATGAGCGGAACTAAAGGAGACGGTATCGATTAAAACTTCTGTAGTCTACCATCTTAAAAATTAAAAAAACCCACCTCCATCGACTGGGCTCGTCGATCTCCCTGGCAAATATGGTAAAATTAACCTCGGTGAACTGTTCAAAGTCAAGCGACTTGGAGTTCTTCACCCGCAGCATAAAGTTGGCCTCATTAACCGCCAGCTCAGGTACAATCTCGAAGAGATCGTTGGGTGGATCCAAAAATAAACGAAAGGTGCCATTGTTGCCCTCATCGTGATCAAAGACCACGTTTTGTACTTCCTCATCGATGAAATTAAGCGGGGTGTTGGTCTGGGCGTTCTCGTTAACCTCGCAACGATAAACGGTCTCCCCGAATGTGGGAATCTCATCGTTCACATCGCTCACTATGATCGTAACTTCAGTGCGAACTGTGGTGGGTGCCATTTGGGTATTGGATTTGGACAGCTCGGTAGCCGAAATCCGCAAGATATGGGCTCCATTCACCTGATCACTTTGCTCTTCGCGATCCAGTTTAGTTAGCGTGTGAACTATCCCTGTGTGCGGGTTTATGTCAAACAGATCGTTGGATTCCAAAGCATAGGCTATGGGGTTATTGATTCCACGATCTCCATCTATGGCTCGAACTCGTAGCACTTTTGTGCCCACTGGGGCATCTTCGGCAATTCGGGCCACTGCCTGGACTTCTACAAATTCTGGAGGCTGATCCTCCAGATCCTTCACCTTCACCAGAATGGCGGCCGTACCCGTATTCACTGGTCCCTGATTGGCACGATCGATGGCCAGAATCCTCAGCTGGTACAGACTCTTCCTTTCGTAGTCCAACTCCTTTTGCAACCTCAAGATGCCCTTGCCCTGATGGGTGGCTATGGAGAATACATCGTTGTCGCCATCCAGCTCTTGCAGGTAGTAAACCACCTGACCATAGGCTCCTTCATCCGCGTCTGTGGCCTCCAGAGTGGTCACCACGCCCGGAGCACTGCCCTCTGGTATTTCGATGGCGTTTTGATAGGGTAGAAAAGTGGGGACATTGTCGTTAATGTCCTCGACCAGGAGCAAAAAGCTCTGCGTCACATAGTTGTGATCGCTGTAGTGACTGTCGGTCAGGGTCAGCACTATGGCATACTCGTCCTGCAGCTCGCGATCCAGCTCCTTGGCCAAAAAGATCTTGGCCTCATTCCCACCCGTGTTCTCTATGCGAATGATCTCACTATCGTGCGAGTTGCGTTTTCCGAAAGTCAGCGGATCGTTATCTGGATCATAGCCCTTTAGCGTGTATATTAGGGTTCCTAAATGCAAAAATGCCAAATATATCTTCGGTTAAGATTATATAAATTATAAAGAATTACCACAATAAATTGGTCACATTCGCTACATAGGAAATACATTTTATGCCAAGTTATTTTAACATGATTATACATTAAGAAGATAAACAATATCTTTTAATTTATAAGCAATAAACTTTTAAGCATGACATATTACCATGTTTAATATCAGACTATTTTCGATCTCATTTTGCACATCCGATTATGGTAAGCTCAGCTCAAAATTTTCAAAATATGAGTCATAAAGATTATATCGGTGGTGATTTTAATTTGTCAAACTATTTTTGTTGCTCATAAATAATGATAATTTAATTAAAATTCATCGAAATTAATGCTATTATCAGTAATTGTAGTTAGAAACTATTTAAGCCAATGGAAAAGTAATATAATAATAAATATATTAAACAGGAAATGGAACTGTAGTCTATTTGCACAGAAGAAATACATCTTACATTTTAGTCTTCCTTTGATTTTCTCGAGATATTATATCTAGTCTGAGAAATGCTCTCCACTTACCCACTTTCGTTTCAGGACTCTCCTTCAAACGCAGTACAATCTCGGACTGCCCGTCGATAGCGAAACGCGGCGGGCGATTTGAGGCAACCAAGCTGATTAGTGTGGTGAGTATTATGACTTGGATGGAGAGGCAGCTTAGATATCTAGGGGATCTGCGGGGCGATTGTCCTTTTAAGCGCACCTTCTTGTAGTCCATGCTGCCATTGTCACTCGACTGCGACTGTGACTGTGGTTCGTTGTACATTGTGTTGGGTTGTGAGTAGCACCAGGGGATTACTGGTTAGGGCCACTTGCACATGACAGGTAGACTCGAGCGACACCTAGAAAATAGTCGGAGTGTGTTACGACAGAAGAGAGAAGTGTTAACCCATTTTCCCCATGTGTCGCACGTTTTATGGGCCGTGATCTGTGACCCGCCGGCAGTTTCGCTCGAGAAGGTAACTCGAAGTGGAGAATCTACAAGAGGAGTTCTGTGCCCGTTCTGCTGTTTCCACATGCCCAAAAAAAAAGAACTCAATTAGGTCGTAGATTTCTTAATACCTGAATGGAACTGGACTCGCGTGTTGCAGGTTGCCCGTCTGTCCGTCTGTCCGTTCTAAATGTCCGTATGTTCTGCGTGAGAATCGGCCAGCAGATCTTCGCGAAAGTTGTATGCCCAAATTAATTAAGCGTCAGCTCTTTATTGGCTTTACTTCAGTTTACTGAAATGCTGGCTCAGCGCCAGCCTGGAATTTCGCTGAAGAAATTTTATGGGTTTTGCGGCTGCTATAGTTTTCTGTTATTTTGTACGAGGTTTAACGACCGGAACGTTTTCTAAACTGCCCGGCAATTATTACTACTTTGGCTTATTCATGTGCCAGATTTGTCTCATTGCGAATTGCTAAACAAATTGCGGATAAGTTCTCGCTCGAGTGGAGTGAAAATTGAAAGTCGTCTTTGATAGATGAGATGAGAAAAACCACACTCGCGAAAATTTGATGATGTTTCTTCACACTTCAAGCTGATGAAAAAAAAACCCTTTGGCCATCTTATCTTTTCACAGGGGGTGCGTGTGAAAAATGTATTTGTAGAGCGATGACTGCATCTGTCAGCCGCAAATTCATATGCATTATTAATGCCATTGTTCGCGGGTTCAACTCGGTTAGGCTCATTTGCAATCGGAGCAGGAGATCCGCGAGATTTGCCAAGTGTGGTTCATTGATTTCGCAATTGCTTCGGCTATTTCTTAATGACCCGCCATCGTAAATGCCTGCGGCGATGGTAATTGATTTGTGTATCTCTGGGATAGCTCATTACCTGTGGCAGGTTGCATCAACCTCTTTATCGCGGGAAAATCAAGCGGCAAGGTCGTTAGAGAGTCGCCTTAACTGATCACGGTTAAGTGATTCAAAAGTAATCACAATCCGCGCCTGATTTCGCTTTCAACACGCGCCGCATGCAACATTTTTAATGTTGTGCCTGAGTACCTGCGGCATTTTCTACTTTTTGGCGGCCGCCTCTGCTTCTCTCTATAAATCTCCGCCGACAATTATCCATGCATCCGTGGCCAGCGCGTTTGTGTAACGACGGCAATTGGGTTGTTTGGTCAGTTGGACGATGCAGGGATGATGGGGATGCTCTGCTGGCCAGGCAATTTCATGCTGCACTGCCTCGGTACTTCCGAATCGGGGTTATCAAAGCTGTCGATACTCTGTGAGTGGTGTGGGGTGATACCCATCGGAATGGACACGATTCTATGCTCGCTGTTTAAATATTATTCACTAAATATGCCTTTGTGTACTTGCAGATATTGTTTATGTGTATTTCATAACCGTTTCAATTGGAGACTCGGAGTAAAGATATGTGAGTATCACCCATTCGCCCTGTGCAACTAACTAATTTTCTAGACACAATATTATTATGAGGAGGTTGTAGACTGGGTGTATAAGACACAAAAGAAAAATTGGTAAACATGTTGAAAGATGTTTCTAAGATGTACTCCAAGCCAACTTTTCTTCTTTTTTTTTTGAAATAACACTTCAACTTGGTTAAATATATAACTTTATATGAAAAATCAAAGTAGAAAATGGGAAAATATGTAACCTTTTAATTTAATGCACCATTCAGGAAGTTCAACCATACATTTAATTTTTCTTAATGCCTGGGCTGGCTATCACTTCCCTCCAAATGAGGCCATTCAAAATCGCATTTTGTTTAATTAACTCCATTAGTGACAGACACACTCCCACCCATATGTGAGGCTTTCTTGCTGCCAATTTTCCACACTGCTAAAACCACTGAATTAAGGCAAATTAATAAGTTACGCCGCCTTGGAAAGATCGGCAAAGTCAGTCAGGGCATCTGCCATTTCCCCTTGGATTTACGTAAGTGGAAAGCGGCAGAAGTGGCTGAGGAGTCGCCGAAGAGTCAAACAAAACACTTGGCCCAAGCACCATGACGACGGCGCCTTTCCGCAGTTCAGATACATCTCCGACCTGGAGATACACATGTATCTCAATCCGAATCCGAGCGAACTTCGGTGCTAATGACTCTGGTTGCTGGGTTCACGCTTGGCAAGTTCTGACCCGGTCCCAGTGGGCCAAAAGTGAAATCCTTCGCGAAAACTGTCCAATGTACGCGGTATCCAATGGTCACCGCCCCGACTCTTGCGGCTTTTGGGCCAACCGCAAAACAAAACCGGCGGCTCCAAGGTAATCGCCACCGAAATGAAAATCCCAATAAACAATTTTGATTTGTCTGTCGCTGCGACTAGTTCCCCGGACTCTTTCCCTGCCTCTTACCAGCCCCAGTAATCGCCGGTTCATGACTTTCCAAGCTAGGCAGGGGCTCACTTAATTATATTAAATATGTTAAGCCCGGCTGAGAGTGGCAGTCACATATGTACACTCGAAAAAATATTGATCATAATGTCTTACAACAATTATAAACAGATAGAAAGCCAAATGAAAAAGTCGGGTCATTATGTATTAAGATACAAAATATTAAGTTATTTTTTATACGAGATTAAAAAGCGTTTTAAAACTAGGATTCATTTTTCAAAACAACAGAAAATTTACAAGTCCTACTGGAAACACACAAAAACTCTATGAAAACTTTAAATGTACATGGGTACAACTTTCTATCAGCGGATAACAGCTTGTCTTTCAGAGATCTCCTTATTTTATAGTAAAGAATATTTTATAAATATGGAAATCCTAAAAATAAAAATTATTTCATATAAATTCACCATTTTTATACCCGTTACTCGTAGAGTAAAAGGGTATATTGTATTCGTGCAAAAGTATGTAACAGCTAGAAGGAAGCGTTTCCGACCCTATAAAGTATATATATTCTTGATCAGGGCCACTAGCCGAGTCGATATAGCCATGTCCGTCTGTCCGTCTGTCCGTCTGTCCGTCTGTCCGTCTGTCCGTCTGTCTGTCCGTCTGTCTGTCCGTATGAACGCTGAGATCTCGGAAACTTAAAAGCTAGAAGATTGGCATTTTGCATGCAGATTCTAGGAGTTCCTACGCAGCGAAGTTTGTTTCAAAAGGTGCCACGCCCCTTTAACGCCCACAATCGCTTATATACGATAAATTTAAATATTTCGGAAAGTAAAATGCAGTTTTATTGTGTTTATAAATACCTATCGAAATGTAGAGAAATTTTTCAAATCGGACCATTCGTTAAAAGTTATGCGTGTCAAGTTTCTTCTCCATCTCCTCCCTTTACCTGAGTAACGGGTATCTGATAGTCGGGGCCCACTATAGCGTTCTCTCTTTTTTTACTATACATTCCACATTGGGAGCCATCATATCTTTTTAAGTCATAATATGGTTAACATATTATATTTTTGTGAGTGCACTGCTGCAGATTGAGATTGGTGCGGATCGTGTTGTGACCAATGTTGCCTCCAGTTTCCGGCCCGCGATCAAACAATCGGGCCCCTGGCGTTCCGAGTACTCCAATTTGAACACTTCCTCCCCCGTATTAGGGCTCTTTTGTCATGCCCATCGATTCCGATATGTGCGGCTCTCCGACAGTCAAGTTCAACGCCAGCAGCCAACAATTGTTTGGTGAACAAAGGAGAAGCGGGGCTAGAGGGCTGGAGGGGAGCTGCTCCGTTGCGGTGGCTTGGTTTTTGACTCATACACCGGGTTCAAGCGACGCCCGCATCCGTCTCACTTTTCCAGCCAAGCTCTGAATCTTGGCTTTTGGATGTTGCTGGTGTCGTGAGCAATTTGTCCGTTACACTCCGGCTCCTTTTCTGGCTCGATTTTTGCACTTTTCTATTTGAATCTGCTTTGCAAGTATTTCTACATTTCGGGTAATTAAACAATTTATTTGGCTGGCTGGTCTTGGAAGAGCAGGCAAGTCCTTGACACGAGCTCTGACCTTACTTGCAGTACTGCAAATAAAAGAAGTTAGGCAACTAACCCCTCGAGGCTGAACTATAGGCTTTCATGCACCAAAAGAAATAACAAGGTGCGAATTTTCTCATAGAGAGATATGGCAATCTCTAAAAGTATTTAAATGCATAACCAATTCAACATGAAATATCTATTGTTGCTAAACATAATCCCTATTTCATACGAATCTAAGAAATATGTATGTAAAGATCCTAATAGATTTGATGTAAATTTGTATATTAGTAGACTTTTATAACAAAAAATTGACCTTAGAAACACATTATTCACACATAATATTTTGAAGTACTTTATGAACTTAAAAGATAGTTATTTATTTACGATACTATTTCTTTTAATATATACCAAAATTCTTTTGAACTGAGATCCTTATTCTTTGCAATTTCCGTGTAGAGCTTCATTCCTTCACCCTTAACAACACCAAATGAGGAAACCCCCTAACTATCCCCCCATGTTAAAGCATGTCGCATGCCAGGACAAGAATGCAAACCGGTTCCACACTTACCGCCTATAAAAATAGGTATTCCCATACAACGAGTATCCTTTGGCAGACTTTTATGCGTTATCCTTTGGCTCACTTTAGATGATAATTATTTGAAGCCAACCAAAACTTGCAGTGTCACACACGAGTGTCGCTTAACAACTACCAGAGAACTGAGAAATTTCGTGGCTGACACATTTTTCGAAAAGGCTTCGACGTCACTGGTAATTAGGCATAAGTCAAGAACCCCGCAGAACACACATATGGAGTACACGATGAAACCGCATAAAATAAACGTGTCGCACGCTTCAAAATTGGGCAATGCACGAACCGGAACTCGACTTTAAAGAGGGGCAAGGGGCCTTCAAACATAAATATATGGTGGACAGATCTCTTAATGACACTTTTAGCCGCCGATGGAACGTGCCGTAGAACACGCAGTCTTTTTAAGTTCTTGGCTAAATGAATAAATTACGAAAAAACTATTTGCACTTTCGAAATCCAAAAACCGTTAAGTGTTTTCCGCGAAACCGAAAACCAATTTTTGGATGAAGTGTTTGCCACAACAGTCGCTCGACGACTGACGTCGAATTCAAAAAACAAGCTAACGAGACTTCGGAGCTCTAGTGGAATTCAAAACCATGGCAACTCTATTGGGGAGAGAAAGATATAGCCGGGTCGAAAGAGAGAGAGGAACTGCAGGCACGCGAGTAATTAGCCGACCGTAAATTCCACCGGCAATTGTGGGTGGCGGGTGAGCTTGGTTTGTTTACAAACTTTGTAAACTAGTTAGCAGTGGATCATAACTGAAATATTGAAAGCTTTGACCAACGGTGGTCAGCGGAAGCCGGGAGTGCGAGGGCTTATGCAATTTTAAAGGTTAGAGAGGGCTCCAAACAAAATCTTCTACTGATTTAATTAAGCCTTAATTAATTATTAAACCTGTGCAAAAAATGCACTCAAATCAAAAAAAGTTGATTGGAGTAGAAAATGAGATAAATGATTAGGCAATACTCTATATTTAAATTTGAAGTATCGTTTATTCCAAATTTAGTTTATTTATACAATTTAGTGATGTCCGCCATATAAATTATATATCGCCTAATAAATAATTGCCTTACCTTACATACTCCTCAGAAAATGTCCGTGGGTCGAGTGACTATGCTGCGTAAAGGGAACTCTGTGGAGCTGGCCCGAAAGGCCAATACCGTCGTGGTGACGGTTCCACCTCTGGTTGAAGAAGTCGAGCAAGAGCCGCTCGTTCCACTTCCGCTATCTGGAGCTGTGCCGGGCCAAGAACCTGACGCCGGTGCCGGACATCCGCAGCAAGTCCAATTCGACCACCACCTTCCTGGAGCTGTGCGGCGACAAGCTGGCTGTCAGCGATTGGCAGCTCCTCACCGAGGCCCTGCACTATGACCTTGTGCTCCAGCAGCTGGTGGTTCGCCTGCGCCGCACCTATCCACAAAGTTAGTACCAGAGTAAAATTATTATGTACTGAAGCTAGACAAATCATAAATGACAAATTTCACTAGATAAGTATTCCCATTACACCACAGGTTAGTTCAAGAAAGAATTTAATATACCCTTGTAGCCGTTAAAAAAAAAATATTTTTTATTTCGAATTCGATGCTAGTTATATTTTCCGATACATATTTTTATCGTCCCAATGGAAAGCATATCATATAGACCGCTATAAAACCACAATCATTTTGAAGTATGCCACTTTGAAATCGGATGTCTGTAAAAAAAGTTATGGGCTTAGAAGTGCGGGTTTTAGGTCACTTTTCTGCAAAGCCATTTTTCGAAAATTTGGAAAGGGGTAACACTGTCAAAATGACGAAAAATCGACTCCAAAATACAAACCAAGCTGAGAACACAGTTTTTTAGAGGATTAAACCACAATCATTTAGATGTATGCCACTTTGAAATCGGATGTCTTTAAGAAAAGTTATGGGCTTAGAAGTGCAGGTTTTAGGTCACTTTTCTGCAAAGCCATTTTTCGAAAAAGCGACTCCAAAATACAAACCAAGCTGAGAACACAGTTTTTTTAGAGGATTAAACCACAATCATTTAGAGGTGTGCCACTTTGGAATCGGAGATCTGTAAGAAAAGTAATGAGCATAGAAGTGCCATTTTTCGAAAATTTTAAAAGGGGTAACATCATTAAAAATAATGAAAAATCGACCCAAAATTACAAATCAAACTGAGTATACAGTTTTTTAGAGAATTCAACCACAATCATTTTGAAGTATGCCACTTTGAAATCGGATGTCGGTTACAAAAGTTATGGGCTTAGAAGTGCAGTTTTTGGACACTTTTCTGCAAAGCCATTTTTTCCAAAATTCGAAAAGGGGTAGGTAACACTATAAAAATGATGACAAATCGACCCAAAATTACAAATCAAACTGAGTATACAGTTTTTTAGAGAAAGTATGCCACTGTGAAATCGGATGTCGGTTACAAAAGTTATGGGCTTGGAAGTGCAGTTTTTGGACACTTTTCTGCAAAGCCATTTTTCCAAAATTCGAAAAGGGGTAACACTATAAAAATGATGAAAAATCGACCCAAAATTACAAATCAAACTGAGTATACAGTTTTTTAGAGAATTTAACCACAATCATTTAGAAGTAAGCCACTTTGGAATCGTATGTCTGTAAGAAATGTTATGGCCTTAGAAGTGCAGGTTTTGGACCCTTTTCTGCAAAGCCATTTTTCGAAAATTTGGATTTTTAGATAATTATATCACAATTGTTTAAATGTTATTAAATTTCTGTAAAGAGTTAACTGTAGGGTTATATCTTTTTTGTATTAATATTTAAATAATATCTATATTCCTGACATAATTTTCCCGGCAGCCAACATCGACCCCATAGACACTGAAAAGAGGGCTCGACTCTTTCGCCAACGACCGGTGATCTACACGCGTTTCATCTTTAACAGCCTGGTCCAGGCGATTGCCAACTGCGTTTCGAGCAACAAAAATCTGAGCGTGCTGAAGCTGGAGGGACTGCCCCTGCAGGATGGCTATATCGAGACCATTGCCAAGGTGGGTTGTGGTGGGACCCTAATTGAGATCATTATCTAGAGAACCTCCGTCCATAGTCTTTGGCCGACAACGAGTGCCTCGAAACAGTGAGTTTTCGCAAGTCAAACATCGGCGACAAGGGCTGCGAGGTGGTCTGTAATACGGCCAAGTATCTAAACCGCATCGACATCTTTGACCTTTCCGAGTGCGGACTTACCTCCAAAGGAGCGGAGCACGTGGCCGATATGCTTAAGGTAAGATTTTTAAAATTAATGTGGAACAATTTTTCTTGAAGTGCGATTTGTATTAATTACTTTACGACTATCTTTTTGTATTACCGCAAACGAAATCTCTGAAATGCGGATCAATATTTTCTAGTACAAACGTAAATTACTTCACCAATTATGATTATAATTATAATCTGTTCCACTATAAAGTTATACTTGAAATCGAGACTAATATTGTTTGCTATGGAAAATGTTTCCTTATTTTTTATATATAGCTATTATTGCTTTATTTTACCCATTATTTTGACTTCCAGATGCAAAAGATCACCCGTTTTACTGAGGGTTGGGAGAAGTCTTTACGCTACCGCAGCGTGGATGTGAACACGATTGGCGGACTGCGCACTGTACTGCTGTCGGACAATCCGGAGATCAGCGATGACGGCATCCGGTGGATCACGGAGGTGTTGAAGGAGGACGCCTGGATAAAGAGTAAGTGGGATCCGCATAGTGTTATCCACACCCTCAAGTTACCCCACAGAAATTGACATGGAGAACTGCGGCCTGACGGACATCGGTGCCAATCTGATCCTCGATTGCCTGGAGCTCAACACGGCGATCACGGAGTTTAGTGTGCGTAACAACGAGGGCATCAGCAAGTTCCTGCAGCGCAACATCCGGGATCATCTGGGCGAACCGGCCGAGGAGAAACAGGAGCCGGAGTACGACCTTAGCTGCGTGAATGGGTTGCAGAGCCTGCCCAAGAACAAGAAGGTCACCGTGTCCCAGCTGCTGGCCCACACCAAGGCTCTGGAGGAGCAGCTCTCCTTCGAACGGACGCTGCGCAAGAAGGCCGAGAAGCTGAATGAGAAGTTGAGTCACCAGCTAATGCGCTCCGACTCCGGCAACTTGGTGCAGGAGAAGATTATAGAAGGAGGATCTCAACAGCACTTGAACAGAGAATATGTGGTGCGAAACGAAGTCATGCAGGAGGTCGTCAAGGAGTGAGTTTAATCAATTCTACAACACGATGTGTTTGTATATTCAGATTCACACTCAGCACACCGAAGTCATAGGTTAAATTTCATATAAATAGGTAATTAATTGGATTCTTCCTTAGTTCCCAGAGTTATCGACAATCTCACTTTAACCGGCTGGTCAACAGTGCGGTCACCAGTCCTGAAGTCACACCCCGCAGCGAAATTGCCACTTTGCGCAAGGAACAGCAACTGCAACAGCAATCCTCGCCAATCCATATCAAGCATCCTTCCGTGGAACAGCAGCTGAGGAGAGTGCGTGAGGTGCAGGAGGAGGTGGACGAGGAGGAGGAGGAGTATGAGGAGATGCCGCCGGAGGACAGCCAATCCGAGACGGAACCCGTGACCGAGCAGCAACAAGTGCTGGTACAGCGCAAGCAACTCCAGGTGCGCAAGGTGCGCAGCGAGATGAAGTATGTGGAGAACAATCCCAAGGAGGCTGCCAAGAATCGCGAGTCCAAGTCGGATCACGAGTTTGCCAACGAGCGAGATGTGAGTAATCAAACCCATTCTATCTTTTGAAAAACGAAACATACATATAATACTCTTTATTTAACCAGTTCAAGCTAAATTCATCCGTGCAGTTTGAGACGGACATAGGCGACAGTGAAATGGTGAATCCTGGCCAGCATTACGAGAACGAGAAGGACACGGGCTACGGTTATAACTGCGAGCAGGAGCACCCTGTGAAGCGGGGCTACGAGAAGGGCTATGTGGTGGGAGTGGGCGACGGGTCCCACAGAAGGCAGAAGCCCTCTAACCTCGCCGAAGCTTTGGCCCAGAAACGTGGTGGAGGCTCGTGCGATGGTGGACAAGTGGCGCAGTTCGTCAGCTCTTTGGAGCGCAAAACGAACGCTGGCAAGCCGGGGAAAAAGCGTCACAAACCGCGGCCAGAGGACAATCATCAAATGCAGACCAACGAGATGCATATGGAGTCATACATGTCCAACTACGAAGAGATATCCTCCACCGATGCCACGCTGGAGAACTCGGACTACGAGGCGGAAACCACGGATTCCACGTTGCGAGGCAGTGGCAAGTACTCATCCATGCAGGTCTTTATGCGGCGCAAGCACTCGGAATCCTTGTCGATGGCGGAGGACAACGGCGAGGGGGAGCCTGGAGGCGGCGGTGTGCCAGGAGATGCAGGCAGCGAAAAGCTCATCTCCCCGCGCGAAGTTTACCTGGCACTACAGCTCCAGAAGCGGGAGCAGAGCTCCTAGGGGGTTCCCCCTTTGGGTTACTTCTCTTCCTTCATCCAAAATCCCAGCAGCCATTTGCAGCCGGAGCAGCGACACCTGTGCCACCATAAGCCAGCCAACTAGATTCGATGGGTTCCCCACTGGGAGAGCTAAATTTCCAGTCGTACTCCCGTGCAGTACCTGTAAAGATGGGAATCGCCTCCTCTTTGCACGTGTCTTGTTCTTTGCGAATTATAGCTGCGTCAAAAATGTACAAAAACAGAAATTCGGCTTACTGATTGCCATTAAAGATTTACCATTTATGTGCTCTCTACGAGTTTATTTTTGATTTTTTAACCGCCTATTTAAAATTCAACAGTTTTGTGCTCTCTACGTGATTATTATACCCGTTACTCGTAGAGTAAAAGGGTATATTGTATTCGTGCAAAAGTATGTAACAGCTAGAAGGAAGCGTTTCCGACCCTATAAAGTATATATATTCTTGATCAGGGTCACTAGCCGAGTCGATATAGCCATGTCCGTCTGTCCGTCTGTCTGTCCGTCTGTCTGTCTGTCTGTCTGTCTGTCCGTATGAACGCTGAGATCTCGGAAACTATAAAAGCTAGAAGATTGGCATTTTGCATGCAGATTCTAGGAGTTCCTACGCAGCGCAAGTTTGTTTCAAAAAGGTGCCACGCCCCCTTTAACGCCCACAATCGCTAATATACGATTTTAAAAACTTAAATATTTCGGAAAAGTAAAAATGCAGTTTTATTGTGTTTATCAATACCTATCGAAATGTAGAAGAAATTTTTCAAATCGGACCATTCGTTAAAAAGTTATGCGTGATCAAAGTTTCTATCTCCATCTCCCTCGCACTCCCTATACCAGAGTAACGGGTATCTGATAGTCGGGGCACCCGACTATAGCGTTCTCTCTTGTTTTTAATTTATTAAGTCCGTTTATTTGTAGAATTATAGAATATGCGACTGGTTAAGATTGTGTTGAATACTACTGATTAAGGTTCAATTCGATCAAGTAATTTGAATGTAAGTTAACCCCATGGTTATCGATTAAGTAGAGATTTTAGGGCGTAGGGCTTAACCGCCAAAACCGTAGAGGGTGCGTCCCTGGCGCTTGAGAGCGTAGACCACGTCCATGGCGGTCACGGTTTTGCGCTTGGCGTGCTCGGTATAGGTGACAGCGTCACGGATAACGTTCTCAAGGAAGACCTGTGAATTTTCCAAGGGTTAACTATTTTTTCTTTGTTTTATATGTATAAATTTAGCTTACCTTAAGCACACCGCGAGTTTCCTCGTAAATCAAGCCAGAGATACGCTTTACACCACCGCGACGGGCCAATCGGCGAATAGCCGGCTTGGTGATACCCTGGATGTTATCACGGAGCACCTTGCGATGACGCTTGGCGCCTCCTTTTCCCAATCCTTTGCCTCCCTTGCCGCGACCAGTCATTTTTCAGTGAGTTACTTTTCTTTGTGAAATTGTCTGAAGGAAAAGAGAAGACGCAATAACTGTAGAGCGACGCCATGTTTGTGTGTGAAAAAGTTACAGGTAATTTGACAGGTAAAAACTTATTATACAATTTTTTTTTATAAGAATACCGGAGCTAAGACTTATGCAGTTATTATTAAATCAAAATAAACTATTTTTTAACTTTATTGTATTTTTATTTATTTAATTGACCAGCAACTACACTCACCTTCCAAGAAAAATACAGAAATGCTTTGATCAAAGAGACCAGACTTCACACACCTGAAAAAACCTGCCACTAAGAACTTGCATTTAGTATATACTAATTCAGCGCTGACGAGTTATCGATAGTCGACCATCACTACCACCGCCCGTTGCAACAAAAAAAAGAACCAAAAGACGTGCTCGCTTAAAAAACTCTTGAAAAACAGGCCCTCAGACCTGTGAAAAACTGTAAAGTGCACCGCGTAGTAGCCTTTCACCAAAGCCGTTGTTATGTGTGATTGAATCGGTGTGAAAAGTCGTGAAAAAGCCGCGGAAAATGAGCATGCAAACGGCGTGTGGCCAGCAAATTCGCTGCCGAGGCGCACACACAATACGCACTTAGTATACACGAAAAAATAGTGCAGCAGTCGCGGGTGCGAGTAAGAGGATAAAAGTGCGAACACAACAGGAACTCTGTGCCAAAATAATACCAATACTCCACCAGTAGCCCCCAAACAACTGAATAATCGCGTTACGTATACGCAGAGAGTGCTGTATACAAGTTGTAGAGATAACAATGTCCAAATACGATCTGCTTTATCTAACGGCGCAGCTATTGCTGGGTATGTATTGTATTGCGAGTATGTGTGGGTGCATACTTATTGGCGCCTTAATTGCTGGCGCCATTGTTGTCAATACTATATCTGTCATTCCTTCCCGACTTTCCGCTCCAATATTAGCTGCTTTCGATTCTCCACTTACATTCATGTGTGATTTTCTATAGCCTTCAGCGTAGCATTATTACTGCATTAATATCATATGGTTCTTGACATAGATAAGGGGTGTATTAGCTTTGCGATATGCTTGTTACTTCTTTATATTTTTGTCTTTTAATTAAACGTGATTGGTCAACCTAATAGAGATATTTAAGATTTAAACTAACAAAAATATCCTAAGCATACATAAAAATGATCAAGAAATAAAGGAGCCTTTGTATTTATATCTCCAGTTTTAAACTACTTCTAAGATGTATGTGAAGGGGTTTCCTTATAATGCTGGGTATTAATCGATCGGATATCTGATTCCCAATCTTAATCCGTGTGTGTGTGTACGCTGAGTATTTCTTTGAATGGATTGCGCTGCATTAGGAACTTGTTGTATAGCAGCTTCTGGTTCCACCTTCCCAATCTCTCTTTCCCTTTCTCTCGCTCTCTCCCTGTCTTTTTCTGTGGCGCAATGCGCTCTCTTCCCTGTTGCTATAGTTGTTGTTGTTTCCTTTTTCCCCACAAGCGCCACTTTAAACCCATCCCTTTCTGTGAGCATAATGTGCCTGCTTATGTATCTACTTTACTATAAAGCATGCACGCTTACGTACACACACACAGCCAGCGATCCGATTACACAAAGAACAGTGGGACTGGATGCAAAAAATATCACAGGAGAAGCAACATCTTGTTTTGAACACCTTTTTTTTATAGCAATAAGCCATTTAAAATTTCTGTTCATATCGTAAGATACAAATTAAATAAATATTTTAAAGCACATTTAAAGATTGTGAGATAAGTGAATAAATAATAATTCTTAACTTGTTTTGTTTTTTTAATTTTGATTAATGCTGTAAGCATTTGAATTGATCAAATGTTCTGTGACTTTCGTTAAACTTCTGATGTAAATGTAGCCTAACTAGTGACCCAGATGGCTAACCCATAATTTGCCTCACTGTGCACTGCATATCCGTGCATTGGGGCCATGCCCACTCAAAGGCTGGTGTGTGGCCAGTGGGGCTAATTCCGTGCCCAAAAAGGGGTGGCTTTCAATGGCACAGGCCCCAGCTTAGGACTGCACTCCTGCTGGTGGGCATGCGATATGTGTACAAAGGATAGCGCCCATAAAGAGCCCTCCCTTTACTATCCCTTTAATGCCATTCCCCAAATAGGCTCGGCTTTATTTGCCCACCCTTTGAGCACTTCCAACCGATAATTCCATTAACTTTGATCTTTTATAAGGTTTATGCCCTGCTATTTATTACGATTTATTTATTTTGATATTGCAACTGATTAAATTGATATGATTAACATAAAACATTATTATTCCCCATTAAGCTTTGTGGCTGCCTAGGATCCACGGATCCATTTTGCCCGAGGGACACAACATGATCCACTGCGAGCACTTTGACGAGAAGATGTGCAACACTACCCAACCATGTGAAACACGCATTGAATACTGCAAGCTCGAGGCGGGCAAACTTCCCAGTTGCTATGTTCTCTGGTCGGTCAGCGAAACAACTGGTAAGTCGAGTGGCAAATAAGCATTTTTAAATTTCAAATTTGTGACTAAATTGATACCTCGTTTCCCGATCCTTTAGGCGAAGTGAAAATCAAGATGAAGGGTTGCTTCACGGACATGCACGAGTGCAATCAGACCGAATGCGTGACCAGCGAGGGACCGCGCCAGGGAAACATCCACTACTGCTGCTGCAAGGGATCGCGATGCAATTCCAGCCAGAAGTATATTAAAAGCACTACAGAGGCAACCACGCAAGGTGGGTTTCGTTTTGGATTCGTTTTTAGTTTGACGTTGCTGCTGCTGCGGGGATTTGTCTTTGGAGTGTTTACCCCAATTTCGTTATTTTCCGTTTGCATATATTTTTTTTAGTTTGTTACTCGTTTTTTATTGCATCTTCAAGTTGCAAAAAAAATAAGGCCTTTGCTACGCCCACAAAATCCCTCTCCTGCCATTCGAGGCAACGTTTTTCGTGTTAACGAACTCTCGACGCGAAGTGGCGCCCGCTCCCCATCATTTTCTACATCCCAGTCCTCAGCAACCCCCTTTTGGAACCGCATGTGTTGCAATTTCTGCCCTTCTGTGCACGTTCGTTGGTTCGTTTTTATTTTTATAGCAAGGTACTCCTTAAATCCTCGGGTATAATGCGTTTTCTTGTAACAGCAAGAATTGTTTATATCAAAGTCAATTAAACCAAAATAATTAGTCTGTTTTGTTAGCAAATAATATTATTAATGTGGGTATTAAGAAATTAATCTAGTATTGATTTATAGAGTTATTAAAGAATTTAAGTTTGATAAGGAAAATAATGAAATAGGTTTTAAAGACCCACTATAACATAATAAGTATTAAGATTGATTATGAATTTTCAGTCGTAAAGGATTATGTCAGTCGATAAAATCTAAAGATACATTAAATCATGGTTATGTCCTTTGGTTTTTCCAACTAAATTGCCCCATTAGTCAGAACCAAAAACTATATGAAAAATTGTATCTAATACCGGGTATTCCAGAGTCGGATGACTCCATTTTTAGTCCTCTTACTTGCTTTTATTTTGGGGTGTTGCAGCTGCCTTTGACTTCCGAGCCCTGTGCTGCCAGGGCGTCTTTTGTGCCCTTCTCTTTGTTGTTTTGTTCTTGGGCATAGCTTGCTTTTATCTCGAAACAAAATGAGGGGAAAAAGAGATGCGAAATTGGGGGCGAACTTTCGTTTTTTGGTTTTCGTTTTGCCTTTGATAGCAACCCCAGCAGGTGCACGCTGCCACTTGAGATGTTGTTCACCTGTGGCAAGGCAGCGTTTAAAGCACTCTTTAATGTCCTTTCCCGTGTGTTTCCTTGTGTCGTTGCAGTGCCGAAGGAGAAGACGCAGGACAACAGCAATTTGATTTACATCTACATAGGCACCTCCGTCTTCAGTGTGCTCATGGTCATCGTTGGCATGGCCCTGCTTCTCTACCGGCGCCGCAAGCAGGCGCACTTCAACGAGATTCCGACGGTAAGTAGATTTTAACAAACTTAACTCCCAAACGGCTAAGATATTAAATTGTATTTTTTCCTCTTTCCAGCACGAAGCGGAGATTACAAACTCGTCGCCACTGCTGAGCAACCGTCCCATTCAACTGCTGGAGCAAAAGGCCAGCGGAAGGTTCGGTGACGTGTGGCAGGCAAAGCTGCACGGTCAGGACGTGGCCGTGAAGATCTTCCGCATGCAGGAAAAGGAGTCCTGGACTACGGAGCACGATATCTACAAGCTGCCGCGCATGCGCCACCCTAACATCCTCGAGTTCCTGGGCGTGGAGAAGCATATGGACAAGCCGGAGTATTGGCTGATCTCCACGTACCAGCATAACGGATCGCTGTGCGACTACCTCAAGTCGCACACCATTACCTGGCCAGAGTTGTGCCGCATTGCCGAGTCCATGGCGAATGGCTTGGCCCATCTCCACGAGGAGATACCTGGCTCAAAAACGGATGGGCTCAAGCCTTCGATAGCTCATCGGGACTTTAAGTCCAAAAACGTGCTTCTCAAAAGCGATCTGACGGCCTGTATTGCTGACTTTGGTCTGGCCATGATCTTCCAGCCGGGAAAGTCCTGCGGCGACACACACGGCCAAGTGGGCACCCGCCGCTATATGGCCCCTGAGGTGCTCGAAGGTGCCATAAACTTCAATAGGGACGCCTTCTTGCGAATAGACGTATATGCCTGCGGTCTGGTTCTCTGGGAGATGGTCTCCCGTTGTGACTTTGCCGGACCCGTCGGCGAGTTCCAGCTGCCCTTCGAAGCGGAGTTGGGTCAGAGGCCCACGCTGGACGAAGTCCAAGAGAGTGTGGTGATGAAAAAGCTGCGCCCACGTCTGCTTAGCTCCTGGCGCGCCCATCCCGTGAGTGCAATTAATTATAATTATTCATGGGATGGTTAAATATTTTATTTATTTTCATAGGGCCTTAATGTGTTCTGCGACACCATGGAGGAGTGTTGGGACCACGACGCCGAGGCCCGTCTCAGCTCGTCGTGCGTAATGGAACGATTTGCGCAGCTCAACAAGTATCCCTCGGCCCAGCTACTGATCAAGAACCACACCAACATCGACGACGCCAAGGAGTCGACGAACTGTTTATAGAAGCGGTACTAAGCCACAGACCAGTCAGCGCTACTGTGGCTTGCCAGTAAATCAGTCAAAGCCTTTCGCTTAGCAGTGGATAGTTTGATAAGCAATGGCGTTCGTGTGACGTTTCGTTTTTAGTTTCATAGTTTTTAGTACCATCATCAGCAGCTATAGTTTACATTTTGTGGGATGGGTCGATAAATTACAACGAAGTCGGTAAGGTGGTATATATTTCGTGAATGCTTTGAAGTTTTTTAGGAAAATAATAGACATTTTCCTTGGATTTGGTTTCGTTGTTTTATGATTTCAAATCGACCCATACCACATAGAGCCGCGATCTTAAATCCGTTGGAAGTCAGTTTAAACGTACACCAAGCAAAACTGAACAAAGAACGTTGGACGTAGCGCTATGTGCATAGATGCGTTTAGTTACTCATCCCACATTAACTTCATTGACTGATAACCGTACATAGTTATATATAACCATGCATATAACGTACAATTTGTTTGCCTTCCGGCAGTAGTTTGGGTGCAAATGTAAAGTGTTGAAAATTATTGTCAAGCCTTTTTAACTTTAATTTGTATTGTGCGTTATTGAATGCCTCCATATAGTAATAGTTCTACTTATCTTAAGTTTAATGCATATAATTTTAATAATTTAGTTTTAATTTTACTTTTTATTCGTAACGTTTTTATTTGCGCACAAGCGTGAATGTGTTTTAATGTTGTATTTTAAATAAAAAATACTTTCCATCCTAACCATCCGACTTTCTTTATTTTTAATATTTTTCCATTTAGATCTTTATTTTCTAAACGTAGTGCCAATGACCCTCAGAAATCACTTAAGCGTAATAAATGTGTAATTATATAATTATATTCTAATTCTACTGGACAGTACAAGCAACACCTGAAGTTTTCAAAAGAAAGTTTCTTTTTAACGAGAATCTAACTTAAGCGCATATACATTACCAAATATAAACTATACTCTTTATATACACACACCACACACACACAAGCATAGGTATATGAAATACATGCAGTCTTAGGAGGTTTATATAATGCACACGCTGCGACTCATTGTCAGCATTAAATCTATAAATCTAATTGAATATGCAACCCAAGTGGACAGCACACATTGTAAGAAAGTTAGATCTTAAAACCATGAGTAAGTATGTTAAATATTGTTGAACAGCCAGTAAGTCATACCATGTTAGCACGGGTGCAAATGATTAACCAAGAAAGATGTATCTTGATCTATAAGTAATTTAAGAGAGTCTTGGCAACATATATTATCTTTCGAGTTATTTGAAAATTTTTTGCGCAGCATCAGTTCTCATTAACGGCTAAGCTTCTAAAATATTTCTGGATTGTCACTTAAGATATCAACTAAAAACAATACACAACACGAAACAAAACAAACAAAGCTTCATTACCTGATTTTTTTGAGCAACTTACAACAAAAATAGTTTATTACGCAAAAACAAACAAAATAATCCTAATAATAGAAAGAATTTTGTTATGCTGTATTTAATTTGTATAATTTTCATTGGTGCTGAATCATTACGACATAAACAATGATAATGATGATAATAAGAAACAAATTAAAAAACAAACAGTATTTAAAGAGCTAAAAAATATAAAATATTTAATCAATGTAGTTTGTTACATATCAGAGTGCAACATGGGATAGTGGAAGATATTATACATAGCTCATTTCAAACCGATTTGCAGAGAAATTTTTATAATATTATACAAGGCAACAACAAGCCACAGCAATTTTGGTATATTTTTTATGCATTTCATAAGTCACAGTAAACGAGTTTGAGAGCAGTAAAGGCATAAAAATCTTTTTAAAAACCCCATTTGAATATCATCAGCAAAGTTTTATAAAAACCCATAACAGAAAATATATACGAAATGATTGCAAGTCATGTTAATAAGAAGTTTACGATTAACAATGAGATCTTTGATAATAATGGATTTAAAATAATAAAATAATGTTTGACAGCAAATGAAAACTGTGTTTTTCTTGATTAAAATGCAAATTGTTTTCCAGCTTTCTTGCCACATTTTATTACAATTGTCCTTCATAAACATACAGACCATTTGGATTATATAATTCAACAGTACAGATAGGAAAACTTATCCAAGAGCTACACATATCAGATACAAATATTAATATGAATAATATAATTTTAAGTAAATATAATATTTATTACTTGGGGAAGTTTTTAGAGTTATATCCCTCATTAACTTAACGAAATCGAACGAATATAGAGACTCGAGTACAGGCTTAATTAATACAAAATATATATATTTACAATCTTCTACGTAGTTTTGTGACTTTGGACCATTTCAATTGTAGTTCCACGTTCGTTCGTTCCTCCTGTGTCTGCTCCATAGACCTATCAGACTTATCCTTATAGCTCCGTATCTCTCTTTCTTTATCCCGGGGAAAAAATCGATCTCTATCAAATGCAAATATGTAAAGCATTCCAAGTCCTGTGCGTTCTGAATGGGTGTCTTACTAAAATATATACGTGTAAATCTATGTAAATCTATACTGATTCTGTTTCGCATTCCATGTGTGTGTATAATCACCTAATCCCTCGCCATATGCAGCTTACGGTATCGAGTATATCTTTATTGGGCTCTGTGGCTAAATCTAGGCTAAACATATACAATATATATAGTATAAATAGGTATTGATGTATATAAGTACTTATAGAGTTTGTACGATATGTTTGTCCTAGGGAGAAAACTTTGCAATTGGAGATACAATATACGAGATACGAGAGTATGCAGTTAGGGACGGTTTCTAGGTTCGTAAAGCGATCGCACTAGTGGAGAGACTAGCCGGGCAAAGGGGTGGAGTGTCTTTATAGAGTTATACAAGAATATATAGATGCCACTGTGCAGCAGGTAAAAAATCAAACTCTCATTATCATTCTGTAAGCAGATCGCCAGTATTATCCACACCAAAATAATTCCTGCACAGTGTTGGATTAAGTTCATATATATATATGTATATATTTAGTAGGGATCTTCTGACCCACCAGCGGATACGCCGCACTTGGAGCGGAGAATGGCCGCCAATCGCTGGGTGAGCGGTTCTGTTGGGGATTCCGAATCGCTGCACGACGCGGAGGGCACTTTGTTGCCTGAAATGAGGATAAGTGAAACATTATTAGTTAATGCCAACTAAATAATTGTAACTTAATTAACTTACCATTGCTCACATCCAGGTCAGCTGCTGGGTTTTCCTTGAGGCCAAAGTTAAGGCTCACGGGCACGATGTCGTCCTCCTCCTCCAGCAGCAAACTGGAGTAGGAATGTGTGGTATTGTCGCTGCGACCACCTCCGCCACTCGATGAGTTCCTCGAGGATCCTGAATCGTTGTGGGAATGGGAATGCGAGTGGGTGTGATGTGTGTGCACTGCCAAAGCAACTGGATCCTGCCCTGCATCGTCGATGGGCAGGTCGAAGTCATCGCCACTGCTGCTGCTCTCCTCCTCGCCATCCATCACATCCACGTTGTCTATCTCGTCGTCACCCCATCCATTATCCTCCTCCTCGGAGCAGTTGTTGCTGCTCACGCTGCCATCGCTCTGCATCTGCATCCGCATCCCCGTCGGCATCGCCTCCCTCATCGCCATCGGCATCCGCCTCCACATCGGAGGCATGCAGATCCAATGCCAGGTCAGGTGACGAAGATTTATTATAGTTCTCATCGCTGTCGCTGGATGTGGTCACTGGGACAAACAGATAAGGATTAATTGAGTGACTAGTGGCTATTCATCAGCTCACTCACCTGCCCTCAACTTTTCTAGGATGAGTGGATAGAATTCTTTGGCCGTGGCATTGTTGGGCTCGTATTGGAGAACTGAACAGGAAAAGATAAAAAAATAAATTGTGTAAGATATTTATGAACAAACATTTTCCATTATTAGTTTATTAACGTGCTAAGCTCGATGTCTGACTCAACCTATTTAATTAGTATGCATTACATGGCATTTATAGTTACATTTTAAATTAATAATTGGATTCATAAGAAAATGTAAAGTGTATTTATTTATACTGGTTATCCATTTTTAAATTAATTTACGTGCTGTTTTAATGTTGACTCTTCCATACAACTTATTATTGATTTTATTTAATATAATCTATGGCTGTAACAAAATAAACGCATCTCTGAACAAAACAAAGTTGTAAATGCAGCTCTCGAAAATAAGGTGACATACTTCGGTAGCTGCTTTTTATTCTACTCACTCAATTTGCAATATTTCAATGCCTTCTTGTAGTCCTTCAGCATCACGGCAGACAGGAACTGCAGGAGAAACAAGAAACGCACAATACAGTACATGTACAATACACGTTTAAGGGAATGCCATCAAATCCTTTTGAAATTCTCATAACATCTCAACAACAAAAGGCTTATAAAGTATATATCCACCCCCCTCGATCTCAATTCACTGGCCCACATTGTGGGACGGACAAAAAAGTTGACTCTGCTGAAAGTTGAATGCGCTCGAAAGCAATTTATTAGCAATCAATAAGCTGGCCAAGTGCGCTCGGTGCCGTAATCCTTCCGAAAGGACTTTAACTTAAATCCGCAATCTCCGTTGGCAGCACAGCAATTTGCATTTGCATAAGTTCCCTGCCAAGGATCCTCTTTGTTGTTGGCGTTGAGCAACAAAAGGGGAAGTGTGCCACGCTTAGATAATGATAATGAGTGGAACAAAATGTGGGTTATTTATAGAGAACAACAGCTGTTCTTTAAATAATAGCACCATAGGATTACAACGTTGATATAATATTTGTTGTATACCTTAAATTGGGCAGTCTTATGTTGGTATTAGTCTTAACAAAATGCCTCAATGTTAAGTATTTTATTATTTAAACGGAATTAAGCCCTCTGAAAATTTTATATTGGCTTAAATTAGCTATGTGTTAAGAAGTTTTGTATATTTTTTTTATATTCATTGAAAAAAACATATTTAAGTTTGCCCTTTTACCAATATATATTAAAAGTTGTCTTATGAATGCAAAATCTTCGTTGCCAAATTGTAGTTTTTTTAAGGGTATCGAAAATTGGATATTGTAAAGTACTGTTTCTTTTCTTTTTGAAACCTTTTTCATATTAACAGCCCCCAAGAACCCACTCAAGCGGAAACAGAAACTAAAACTTGCTCTGTTTTTGAAGAAACTTTAGTTGTTTCACTCTGTGGCAGGCATAAGATTTCTTTGATGGACACTCCAACGTGGTTAACCTGAATTTCTCTTACCTCGGCCAGAAACTCAGTGGGCGCGGATATGCTCTCGTCGGCGTCCGTATACTCGGACAGGCTTTGGCTGAGGTCCTCGCTGGATGCGGAAGTGGGCAGACCGGAAGCGGAAGCTGCTGCTGCGGCGGCTGCCCCGTTCATTATGTTTATGTTGTTAGTGTTCGTCGCGGCCATCACGGCCGTTGATGCACCTGTTCCAGTTGTTCCTGTTGCTGTGGTTGAGGTGGTGGCACCTGCTCCAATTATACCATTATCGTTGTCCATGTGGCTGCCACTGCTGTTTGGCCTGACCGCATATACGCCATTGCCATTCGACTTGTCCATGAAGAGGAGCTGCAAAGAGTGATTTAGATGCCTGCTCCGAGATACTAAGTTCCCTCCATGTACTCACGTTTGACATGATCTCTGCTAGAAATTTCAAAATTGTGCAATCTTCAATTTAGCATTTTCATTGGGTTGTCTGAAATAGCAATTGGAAAAGGGGAATAAATTTGAATTTTGATTGATCTAGATTGCCTGAGACCGCAGTGCAGCAAAGCTATCGATTTCGATGGTTATCCCTAATTGGATTGCCAGTGCCCTACCTTCGACCTTCAGCTTCAGGCCAAGTCGGCTTAAAAAAACAAGGCAACAAAGAGCGTAGAAAATTCGTTAAATGTCAAATGCTAATTCCACTTCCGCTGGATGAGCGCAGACATTCGCTTTCCAACTAACCGAAAAGATAAATTTAGCCAGTTGCACTCAACGAATTTGGGGCATAAAATTGAAAGAGTATATAAAAAACTGTTTTTTAAAAGTATACATTTTCTCGACCTTGCTTTATTTAGTGAAGTGTTATTTATTATCCAAAACAAAAATATTTAAAATATCTATAATATCTGTTGGGCTTGATATCCATTTTTTTTTTTTTTAATTATTTTTATTCACTGGAATTCAGTGCCTTCTGAACTTAACCTAGCGTAATTAACGAGAAAGAAATTTTATGGATACAAAGTAGCCTTAAATGGCTTGATATCCTAAACAACTTCTTCAAGTAAAAAGTTATAAATTAAAAATTGTGACGACGGAGATTAACGTAAGACCTAAAGTTTGAATCCTTAAATTCAAACATTAGAGTGGAAAATGTCTTATCTTGTGTGTTTTCCGGCAGTGGAATGCTCCGAGTGTTCCGCACAAAAAGCGAAATTCAATGATGTGGTTGATGGGTGTGATGTGGGCGGGGAACCCTGCCGGCGGCTCTTCTTTGGCCAACTAGTTGAATAGGCCAGCTCGACACGCGAACATACGAGTATTTGCCGGCTGCGAAAGCCAAGAGCAAGGAGGGCAAATGAGCGGAATTGTTGGCGTTCTTAGCTGGGATGGGTGTTTAATTGGCGAGCGACATGCACCACGCCTCGAGGTATGCAATGAATTTTTCGGTTATTTATGCAGCATTAGCAGACAGCCGCATGAGAGAGCGTGTGTGTCTGTGTGGGTGTGTGCAAGCAGTGTATGCAAGTAGTGTGTGTAAGCAGTAGCGTTGCCGAGAGGGTGATGTTTAGACACCGAGCCCCCCACTCTGTTTAAAAGTGATGAAATAGGGTATTCTACAAACAATTTGTTTTGAAACCCAACCCAACCCCCCAAAACCCAAATCCAGGATCCGCCACTGTGCGTTAGTATATTTGTGTGTGTGGTCCCGGCTGTCTGCTCCTTTCAATAATTGAAAAGACTCGCAGTCAAGGACTCGAGGGCCATCATTAAAAACAATAAATTTGCTTTAATGCTTGACAGGCGAATGATTTACTCAATGGCTCTACGGTTTGTGGTGTACACAGCAAAAAAAAGTATTTGTTTTACTTTGCGTAAATTTAAAAGCCTAAAAGATTACCCATATACACAAAAATTAATATAATACATATATTTGTATCTAAAACTGTATATGATTTGAAAGCTATGCGACCAATAAAACGTACTACAGAATATTTGGTTTCAGTACTATCAAGAAATCATTTATATTTGTATCTAAAATTGCATAAGACTAAAGATTTTTTCAGGGATTTTTAAAATAGTCGAATCTTTAAAATAAATCTCATAGGCACTGTAATTGTTTTCTGTGCTGTTTTCTTTTAGCTGCAAAATCAATACCCATAATTGCACATCTTGCGACGTGCTGAAGCCATAACTGACATGGCTTCCACTGTTCATTGCTTGTTTACTGCTCCAAATGGCCCTTAATTGTATTTTATACCCAATGCATTGAATCCTAACTGCTGGCTGCCCGTCTCCGTCACTCTTTCTCTTTATGTGTATCTGCAAACAACACGTCAGTCAGTCAATTGTCTGCGATTTGTTTACTCGTCGGTTGATCCTTTCTGGCATTTCCAAATGTCAGACATGTCTGGCCCATCCTGTCACGCAACTCTATTGGAGGTCTGCAGCCATATTCTCAATCGTTTATCTGCATTTTTTGCTAATTTCGGCACAGACTTTTACAAGGTTGCGAAAAAAACATGTTGCATTTTCAGAAAAAGCTTTTAAAAGTACTTTGCGACTACTCAACATGTGCATCAGTTCTCATGACAGTTTTAGTTTTGCTTTTATAAACCCTTTACTTTTTCGAACTGAAGCACTAACTTATTTAGTAGAGCTCAATTAACACGAGTGGAAAAACTAATTTCAAAACAAGTTTAAATACGTTTCCTCAGAATGATTCAAAGTTTCGAAAGTTTCGACACTAGTTACAAACTAAAGTTTTGTGTTGCAAGTCTAAAGAATTTAAACCAGCTTAGGAGACAAGAAAACAGAACAATGCTAATAATAAATGAATTAAGAATTATAACACTGTTTTAGTTATTTTCAGTTTGTTCACATTAAATGAAAAAAAAGAACACATTACCTATTAACAAATCTTAATAGTGGCCAATTTGCTATCGACCATTTATAACGACATTGGTATCATTATTTATGGAGAAATCTTAATAGTTGCCATTTTGCTATCGAAAATAATAGCCATATTTATAACGCTCATTAATTAAGTTAAAGTGTTTTCAGAACAACTGCTGCAAAATTGTCGATGCCTGCGATGACTAGTTTTGGGGAGGGAAAAGGAAAACTTTTTCTACGATGAGACCACAAACAGGTGCTGGCAACGTAGTCTAACCATTTTCATTTGCATAATTAAAATGTCTACCAGCAAATTGAATTGCGATCCTAGAGCAGACCTTACCTGACTTTAAACGGCAAACAAACCCCGATTTGGGGTGAACCCAATTTAAAGTCGGCGAACCGGAAAGTTATGTATGTGAAACACCATGTGCCACATACATACAAATGCACGAATGCGTCATGGGGTCAGATGGCGGCCACAGTGCAGTAAAATTGCATAAAAAGCCATTGCTGTTACTGCAATTTGGTTGTCCAGTTTGTAAATGCGCCGAATAATTTATAACAAACACTTAAATGCGACTGGCGATACCAATCCCCAGCTAGGTCCATTCGAATGTTTGCCAAATTGCCGGCCTGTTGGGGCTTATTTGAGCCAAAACAACATGCAATACGTAGTCGAAGACCCGTCGCCTGCCAACAACTAACCATCCGACCAACCGAAGGAGCAGAAGCTACCGAACCGAAGGTCCTTGCCACTGGCCAGTCACAACACGGGCCGTTAATGAGTTTTTCTTATAATACATTTTTTAGCCGGCAAACACTGCCGGCGAGCCCATCTAGGCTGGCCCATTGATGCAGAGAAAAAAAACCATATCAGTATCAAATCAAATCACTAACATATATTTATATTAAGCCCTTAGTGTTAAGTTGCCACATAAGATATCAAAATATTGAGATAAAAATAGAAAAGGCTGTATTTCAATATTTAAAATAAATCACTATCAAAGCTTACATTATTTTATTACAAGGCCAAAAATATTTTATTTAAAAGGTCTTACAACTTTTTAAAAAAATTACCCAGGAACATACATAATATTTCGTGTGTCAGCTGTGATGCATTTTTATGACAAAACCTGCCGAACTTACGACCAAATTTAATGATATTTTTGTTCGCTCTGTAGTGTGACATGGCAAAATGTTGTCAATAAAAGGCGAATTTATGATAAAGTATATATATGGGTGTGTGACTGTACAGTCAAACGACTTTGCAAACTGTAATAACAAATCCTTGCGAATATTTCCGCCATTTGCCAGTCTTCAGTCCTTGAAAAGGACGTGGGCCAAATTGCATGATTATAATGATCGTCCTAAAAACGTTGTTATCGTTTGCTGCTGTTGCAATTACGTTTGCAAGACTTTGAGTGGATGCCAAGCGATGGCCATTTAACTGGTTTTTCGTTGCCCAAATATTATTGTAATAGTGCTCAAAAAGTACCTTTCGTTTGCAATGCCAGCTGAATTTTCATTGGAAGCTTGGCTCTTTGAATCAAAGTAAATTGGCTTGTGTAAGCTTCAGAGGGGGTCTAGGCTAGTTTCAAATACTCTGTTGCGAAATAGGTCTTAAAAATTCATTGAAATCCAAAAACTATAAAGAAACTTTTATCCGTGTTAACTTGCTGATAAAAATTTCCATACGATTCCACTCAATTGAATTGACAACTAATAACATAAATTATGCCAAAACTTTGCAATGGAAACTTAAACTTTAAGACCGCAAAAAGTTCTTTAATATTAGCCATGAAAATTTCACGAGTTCAATTGGCAAAACTAGGAAACATTAAAGTCTGCTTTAACAGAAGTACGTACATATATATACTTTTTATTTCCTTGGAATAAAGCCATGTAAAGCGGACGTTTTGGGATGCGAAACCGAGCTCATATTTTATCGCTCCGTAGGTATTTGAATATTTCAAAGAAAAAGTTTCTGTAGACCGAAAAACTTGTCTATGGAAAAGTTTAATTTGCCGCCACCCCCCGAACAGCCGCTCCACCCAAGGACGGACAGTGGGCGTTTCGCTGTGGTCATTGGCTTTGTATGAATTACAATCGATATTCGGCGGATGGGGATGGTTATCTATTCGTCTGTGTCTAAACCGAGTGCGGTTTAGTTGGCCACCGAAGCGGTAAATAAGCAATTATGCTGAGTTACATTCGGCTAACATGGCATAACTTTGACTGGCCGCCATACGAGACGTATGCGCAATATTGCATCTGATACTCCTGCCTTGACTGTGGCTTTGCCATAACAATGCGGCTTGGCTCGGGAATTGTTCGCATTGTATTGCCAGGCTTTTGTTTGTCGTCTCCGCATTATACCCAAACAGGAATTTATACATATATGCGAAGTGCACCCTGCATTTCAAATGTTTTCTAGCCTGCACTTAGTCAACTGTCGTCTGCCATTTATTCATTCACACTCATTCACTGACTCACGGCGCAAAAGTCGCTCAAGTGGTAATTAAAATTATAGCAACAATGCGAAGGCTTCTCGGCCAAGAAAACGATGAAGAGGGTGCAAAAGCCGCTGGCTGACACAGAAAGCCAAGCGGAAGCGCTGGCTGTTTGCTGGTATTTGTGCATCACACACGCTAACAAGTTGCGGCTATTCACACACTGGCAAACAAAAAAAGGACACTCTCTTGCACACACAGGACTAGGACTGCTTTGACAACTTGAAATATTTATGAGTGCCCGCCAACTCGACCCAAAGACGCTGGTGACAGGCCAAGAAGAGCCTGAAACAAAAACCAGTGCAACGAATTCAGTCACCAGAGAAATACTATATGCATTAAGCTACCAAGCTGTAAAACTATAAGGCTCTTAAAGTTACAGAAAAATATTACATATTTGTGGGCATTTTGTTTATTGATCTTTTGCTGAAATCTTTCCCATTCCGAATTTTAATGTTATAAATAAAATCATGCGATAATTTTACTCCCATTATAACAATAACAAATTAAAACACACATTTCCGTTTTAACTTAATGTAGTTCAATTTTTAATGTAGTTTTCTGTCCATCTGAACGCTGATCAGAGCGATAATTCAAATTAAATGAACCAGATTGGAATCGCTATTTAATTTTTAATTGTGAAATGAAATTTTATACATCAAAAATAATTTGTATTTTATTGATATATTGGCATAAAGTATAAGGTAGGCACACATTTCAGTTATAATTAAATAAAATTGATTTCGTAAAAGACCGTGGACAATCAACATACAAATTTTTTTATATGTAATTTTTTTTCGCTTTTCCAAATTAATTGGTTTTAAATAATACAGCTTATTCATGGCCTATCCGAAGCACGTTTAAAGTTAATATTCTATATATTTATGATTGGTGTCCAAAACGTTTAAAAACTCATCAATATTTTTTTAATTTGTTTAAAAGACCTCGTGTACGGCTAGTTGAATATAAGTCTTCAAAAACTTACAGCGTAACAATCTTTTAAAATGAATTTGTATTTTGAATTATAATAATGAATGAAACCCCAAAGGGTAAAAGTCCGCATTGCGAGGTGAGAATCTATAGGGGCCTCGAGTTGATCGTTTAGCACATCATTAAAAATGCCTCGCTGTGCAGAAAGTTTTGAGTACTCGGCACTCTCATGTGGCAACCGTTGCTGCTCTCGAGTGGCAGAAATAAATAATTAAAATTTACTAAAATCCCAACAAGAAGAGCACACAATCCCCGCCAAGGACGAAGGTTAATGCGTCCTCTTCGTGGCGGTGTTTGGGGGGAAATCTGGCATAAATATTACGGGCCTGCTGACAGGGCACCTTCTCCTACCTTTAAATATTTACGAGCGGGGTCTCGTCCACTTGGTTAATGCATTTCCAGCCTCCTGGATTTTTTTCAAGCTGCGAAGCCAGCAAGTCCCAGGATTAATTAACGTTGGGTCCCCGGACTTTCCTCGAATCAAAGATTCTGCGGCGTGGGTAGAAACTAATTAACGTGTGTTTTTCCTGGCTTCTACGCAGTTGAAGCTGCAAAAATGATTGCAGGAGTTTTTTTTGCACACACACAACACGAGTGCTTCGATTTTGGTTCAATGATTACGTGCTTGTTTCCAATTTTCAGATGCACTATCTTTGGTTATTTATTCAACGAGAAAAACAAACTTTAAATACTTTGTTGCAGCGGAAAGTGGAAGCGTTTTTCCCTTCGGTGAAGTGAAATTCGTTCCGCCTTTTTGCGTCGCAGTTTCGCTTAATTAACAGAGTCGACGACTGAACGAAATGTCCTTTTTATACACACTTGTTCGCTTTTACCTTGCCCAAGAGAAAGCTTTCGCCTCTCTGCCGCTCTCTTTTGCCAGCTTGCTCTCCCAGTTAGCTTTTCTCTCGCTTTTATTAATACCCTGTGTACTACAATTGAAAGGGTATATTGTGCCATTGACAGATTTTTATTAAAATAGTATTTTCTCACCTCACTGCATTAAAATATAAATATTATTCTTAATTGATATTTTATTTAGTCAACTTTTTTGCGGTTGGAGTTTTTTTATTTATGGTATAGATCATACATTTGAGTTTCTATTTTATCTGTTTATTTATTTTATTTGTGGCTAGCACAATATCTTATAGGTTTCAAATTGATTTAACTCGCTTGCTTTTAAAAAAAAGTTAGCTTATAGCCTTAATAAATATATAATTTTAAATTCATAATCTAGTATTTGAAAACTATACATTTTTTGTGGCATTTTACATTATTTCCCTCTCTCTCTTTCTCAGCTGCCTAAAAGCTCTGCTCTCTCAGTTTCCAAGCCATCTCTCGCTGCATTACATTTACAGTTGGAAAACAAAACAAACAACAGAGCGGAGCGGATCCGGAAATGGTGCAGGCCAGAGACTGATGGCCGACTGATTGTGGCCATGTTGTCTGCCCTGCTCATGTATTGGTATCTGTGTCCGCATCTGTGCTTGTGTCGGTGTCTGTAACGGTGTCTGTGTGGGAGTGGGTGTTCATGTAACGCGAACGGCAAGTCAGCTGGGAAAAATACTATGCAGAGCGTACGCATCGGAAGCGGAGCAAGAGATTTTTGCGGCCCATTGAGTGTGAATTAAGAGATGCCGGCTTAGTGCGAATCCTTGCATATACATATATGGTTTTTTTTTCAATCTACAGTATGTGGATGCATGTACGCCCTCGAGTGGCGGATGTTAGTGGCAGCTCAACGAGGATGAATGCTGGCTACTGGTTATTCCCACCAGAATTCTGCATTTCAGCATTTTTGTGGCCTGCTTTTGGGGGGCGAACAAAGTGAATTGTCCTGGTATTGGTGCAAGTCAACAGCGATATGATTTTTAATCTGAATGTTAAATATTGTGATGCAAGTTGCAAGTTTTTTGGAGGCACTGTCAGAAAGTAAAAATGCCAAGATATAGTTTAAGAAATTGTTCTTAAATTATTTTCAAACATTGTTGCCCAGACCTGTGATTAAATATTAATAATAAAACTACTTTCTTATTAATAGTACTAAAATGATTAACAGTAATGATTACAACGGGGACTTCTATTTAAGCAAAAATATTCATAAAAAATGAATACTTAAGCTTAATCACATTTTTTCTCTTCCATAAGCTGAATTAATGTTATTCCTCATTATTTTTGTGCCGGCGTTAATCCCAACGCGGTCATTAGATTGTCAGCGAAAAAGTGTGCTACAAACATTTTATTTATTTATAAATTTTCTCTTTTCCATTTCCCATTTCCCTTCCCTATCATTTAAAAAGCAGCGCGGAAAAGTCGTTCCAGTCAGCAGCTCTTTATGAATGCAAACTTGCATTTGTTTCCGAAAAGGGAAATTTACGTTGGCAGTTGCAATCCCATTTTGCGTGTTGCAGGGGCTTTTGCACGATTTCCTGTTCGCCATGGAGACTTTTGGCCACCCACAACCCACATCCTGTGATCCACCACCCACCAACCACCTCCCGACACCACGTCCTTCGCACGTGGCAAATAAAAACAGGTTTGACTCTGCTTATATATAAAAAAATTTATTGCGTTTAACTTTGTAGGGTGAAGAGCGTAGAATGAACGAGTTTTTCATGCTTAACGGCATGCCAAAGGTGGGATTCTTAGCACTAAATGGGTTACTCCTAAAGTTGGATGAATTGAGTTTGATATGTCAGCTGCTTGGTTCGTTGATATCAAGCTAAGATCTAAGCTTAATGTCTAGCGATATGTTGATTTGGTTGCTTGCAAACGTTTCACAAATGTACAATTAGATGCTGAAACCGAAGACTACAGAGATAATACAAATAATCGTTAATGATCTAAGGACCTCTTGAGTATAAAAGCTGATTATTTCAGTTCTTTCAAACTTTAAAGTCCTTAGAATCACTTTCGAATAACTTAAGAATATAATTAGTATACCGATAACTAGTTCATACTCATTTCATTTTTTCATTTGTTATGCAAATGGATGAGCTTACAGACTAAGCAAATATCAAGGATTCCGATTTCGATTCCGTTTGCGATTGAAATTCGTCGAAATTGGAAATTATATTATTAATATGTGAAACTTTCTTTCGAATCTTTCGATTTCGATATGTGTCGTTTTGGATGGCCTAGCAGTTCATGTAGTTTGGCGCCGCCTCCTCTGCCTTGGATGAATCCTTTTCGGGGGCAATGTCGCCCACATTCTGGTAGACCTCCGCCTGGACTTCGATGCTGCCCACCTGGGGACAGGGCACTGGGATCTGCTTGGGCCTGAAGGAGCTGCATCCGCTGGCGGAGCTGCTCTTGGTCAGCTTGCCGTAGATGATGTTCGACCGCTCGTTCAACTTGATGGGCTGCAGGGTGACCCCGTTCTGGTTCTGGTAGTGCTGCGTCTCGGCCTGCTCTTTGGCCTCCATGATGGTGTTCAGGTAGTTGCTGCTCTGCGAGCTGGCCAGCGGTTGGCTGCCGTACACTGGTATGTTCGAGGGGAACATCTGGTAGTGCTCGGATCCCGTGGGACTGGTGGGTGTGTTCAGGCGCTGGCAGCTGGACATGGGAGAGGGGAACACGATCTGGTGGCGCTCGTCGCCGGGCGTTGAGCTCGGGTGAAAACGGGCCTGGGCGGCGGTGGCACCAGATAGTTGTCCATCATCCGGCAGTGCGGGAAGCGACGATCCTCGTGATCCGAGTGGGTGCCCGAGTCGCCCAGCGAGGCACCACTGCAATTGCTGCCCGTGCTCAGTCTGCCCGATGACGAACTCGAACTGGACACACTCTGCAGGCTCAGGGAGCTGATGGGACGTCCGCCGGCTCCCACGCTGGAGCTCACTCCGCCACCCGACTTGAAGCTACAGCTGGTGGCTATCGAGGACTTGGTCTCGTCCAGCAGGCTATCGTTTCCGCCCGGCGTCTTCGATCGCGAGAAGAACTTCTTGATGCGCTCGAAGGGCGTTTCGCGTTTGAGGTGCGACTTCACCTGCTCCTGAATCCGCTCGTATTCGCGGCGCAGCTGATCGATCTGGTCCTGCTTCTCCCGGAAGCTCTGCTGCACATCGTTGCGGTGCTTCCAGCGCTCCACCAGCAGCTCCACATCGCGTATGGAGAGCACATTGTTCTTGAAGTCGTGCATGATCTCGGCCAGCTCGTCGTCGGCATTGGATCGGGTGTGACTGGCGGCGGAGGCATCGCTGGCACTGCGCTTCAGGGTTCCATAGCCGGGCTGTCGGCTAGTGCACCGGCTCATCCGGGGAGGCTCCTCGACGGGTCGATTTGAGGGCTGGAACAGGTAGTTGCCATCGTCCTGGACCACCGGCACATTGGAGGGCTGCAGCACGTAGTCGTTGCCCAGCTGGTTCTCCAGCAGTTGCGAGCACTCCTGGCTGAATTTGTCGGTTTGGTAGAGAGGTGCCGCATCCACTTCGTCCAGGGATTTGATCTGCTCCTTGAGCTCCTTTGGCTGGTGATTCTGCTCTTTGGACTGGTAGTAGGGTGGCTCGTTGATCCTCAGTTCATTGGTGGTCTTCTCGGGTCCGGGTTGACTGCCAGCCTCGGGCAGTTTCTTCTCGGATTCCACCTTCTTTTCGGCCACGGAAGCCTGCAGGTTTTCGTCCTCCGTTTCCACGCTGATGTAGTTGAGATTCGAGATGGCGAGGGTTTCCGTTTTGGGCCTCACTTCGGGTGTGTTCTCCCGCTCCGAGCCACTGGACATCTCCATGTACTCCGCCGAGGGCAGTTGCTTCGGCGGCTTGTTGGACTTTGCCTTGCCGGGATGGGCTTCGATCACCACATTGGGACTGGGCTTGGGACTGGTCTCGCCCGGCGGAGTCACCCCCTTGAAGTAGTGGTACATGGTGGTCAGTTCGTGGAACTCCGCGAAGCTGACAATGTTCTGGGCCAGCTTGTTGTGGCCCTCCTGCTCGGCCAACTCGGCTGGAGTGCGTCCGGCGCAGTTCCTCACGCCGCAGGCGGTGTCGCCACCGGGGCACTCCATCAGCTGGATGCAGAGGCGGTTCAGACCCCATCGGGCGGCGAAGTGCAGCAGCGTGGGATACTCCTCCGGACTGGACTCCACCCGGGTGAAGAAGTGCGGCTGGCGCTCGCTGGGACCGCTCAGCAGGTGGAAGTTGGGCGGCATGTGCCGCTGGAAGCACTGCAGCAAGTGCTGATCGAGGGCATCCCGCTCCACGGGTCCAATGCCCAGGGCGTGGCACATGAACTCAATCGGGGAGTCCTCGATCCGCAGCAGCTGCTCTAGTTCCCGCAGACGACTCTCGCATTTGATGGGCCTGGCGCCCAGGCTCTTGTTGTTCTTCTCGATCCGGATCTCGATCATGGTGGAGATCTCCATGCAGGCCTCCGGGATGGAAAACTGCAGGGTGTAGGGATTGCGGCACTTGAAGTTGCGCAGCTCGATCAGCTCTCCGGATTTCTCCACCAGCAGCTTAAGGGTGTCGTTCTTCTCCAGCGGTTCGGCCAGCAGGGCCACCACCTTGTTCTGGCCCAGTTTCACCTTCTTGGGCAGCACTGTGAATCCCTCGGTGCAGCTGGAGAAGCTGCGGGACAGGCCGCCACCTCCGCCGCCGGAGTTGTCCTGGCAGGGCGGTCGCTGGCACAGGGCTCGTCCCAGGATGTCGGTGGCTATGCCCAGGATATTGCTGATCTGCACCTGGTCATTGTCCCGCACCACACACCGCCGCCACTTGTAGTAGCTGGGCAGCGCCGATTTGTGCATCTCCTTCACCTTGTCCTCGCCCACGTCCAGCAAAATG